ACGCCCCCCCCCCCCCCCCCCCCCAAACAATATTTCTTTGCCTGCATGTCCTTCAGCCCATGCTCCTTCCTGAGTGGCGTCCCTGAGCCCACTGGGGAAGCTGTGTGGGTTGTAGGACGTACTGTCTGTGAGGAGTTCCATGCAGACCCCTTACAGTATCGCTGTGAACCCCCCGGGGTCTGCAGACCACAGGTTGGGAACCACTGGGTTAGGGTATTGATTCAGCTCTGTATAATTCATGCACCTTAATGCAAAGCCTTCAGTGACCAAGGCCTTGTGAGCTTTGTTCAGATACTAGTGCCTGTGTCCCTCATCAGAACTGGAATTTGTCACTCTTGCTGTCCCACCACTCGTGTTCTCACTACTGGTGTTACGTGTTGCAGAGCCCGTAGGCAAGGGTCATCGCTGGTTCTGTTTACACATGGACTAATGATCCTGATGGTGGCTTTTGGGGGCTACTGCAGTATAATCAACAATGAGGGGTTCCAGTGGCATCTTAAAGCCTAACGTCTATTTGGGTATAAGCTTTTGTGGGCAAGGGCATATAGGAAGTTATTTATGCCCAAATAAACTGTTAGTCTTTAAGGTGCCACAGGCCTCATTTTGTTTTTGCAGATATAGGCTAATAGCTACCCTTCTGATACTTGCAGTACAATGAGTAACACTAGCCTCAATGGACAAAACTTCCTTCTATTTTTATGTAGTATTCCCTACTAGGGATGTTAAGGACTAGTTGACTGTCCAATAAGCAAATGCTTTTTGGATAGTTAGTCAACTCATTGATTTCCCCCTCTTCCTGCCTCTATCAGATAGCTGAGGCGGCGTTCAAAGGGGCAGTGCTGCATAGCTGAGCCCAGGATCGGCTGTGCGCTGTATTGTGTGAAGCCTGGGGTCAGCTGGGGACTCCCCAGCTGATCCCGGGTTCTCAGGAAATGCTGTGTGGAACCTGCAGTCAGCTAGGGAGTCCCCAGCTGCATGGCATTTCAAATTGGTAGTACAGCATGGAGCCCGGGGTCAGACTCCAGGCTCCATGCTGCACTGCCAATTTGAAAGGCACAAGAGCCCCCCACTGGGGACTCTTGTACATTTCAAAGCTGGCATAGCCTGGAGTCAGCGTGACTTCCCGCTGTCTCCAGGCTGCATGAGGATTTCCGCATTCCTCCTTTGAAATGTAGAAGAGCCCCAGCGGGGGCTCTTGTACATTTCAGAGGAGGAATGCAGAAGTGCCTATCGACAATTCCATCAACTATTCGACTAGTCAATTAATCGTTACTTAACATCCTTATTCTCTACCCCAGTTGACCTGCCTCTGAAATCAGTTTTGTATGTGTAGTGAAATTTGGTACATCATCTTTGATTTACTGTATAACGTCTAGTTTATATATTTCAAAGGGCTTGCTACTTCTAGTGAGCTGTGTAACAATATCACCATGGCTAAGAGTCCCAGTCTGTTTGATCAGATTGCTAGGAGCAATTGATCAGAATTAACATGAAGCTAAGTATGTTGGGTGATAGTCCTGACTATAAATCAATGAAGTTAATATGTTTTTGCTCACATTCTTACTTTGGAGGAGTGATACTATGATCACAATGGTGGTAAGGCTCATCCATGGCACTGCTAGTGTACTGATCCATGCAGTTTTCCCACATGTGGGAAACTTGATTGCATAATTCATGGTAGTGGTGAACTGTGTTCATACTTTCCCCTGACTGTTTTAGAGACTTCAATAGGTATAACATATGTAGATGTAATTAGCTATTTTCTTTTCCAGTACTGCTTTGTACCCTCATTTGATAGTGAATCGTCACATGACATAAATGTGACTTTAATCCCCAATCCTGGATTTCACCCAAGAAAATCCTTGCTTCTATGTCATTAAAGGGTTTCACACAGGCTGCCTGTGTGGATCCAGTTGCAGAATCAAAGTCTTATTAGTGAGAGGCCCATGGCTAGAAATTTGTATTGGTGATAGGTTGAGATATCTTAATACATGCAAGACTTGTGTCTGAATCCTATTCAAAGGTAAATTTTAAAATCTACATATATGCATAATTTTACGGTATTATGATCATTTAGTGCAACAGTTCCCAACCACTGGACCGCAGACTTCTGGCTGATACTGCGGCGGCTCTGGGGGCCGAAGCTGGGGTACACCGCTTTTTCCCCACCTGTTGGGAGAACAGTATTCTGCCCCACCTCTCAGCCAGCCAGCACCAGGGGTGGGGTCTCCTCCTGGCTGCAGAAGAGCGCTTCCCTGCAGGGCCAGAGGGCCGTGTGGAGCGGTTCTGTGCAGCCCCCCTGCCATAAAGAAAAGTGCTCTTCTGTGGTTGGGAGGAGACTTTGCCCCTGCCTGATGGGAGGGAAGATGCTGGGTAGTGTACCCCAACATTGGCCCCCAGAGCTGTCGCCACGCGGGCATCAGTGCAGGGCCAGGTGTGGGGGGGGGGACAGGCACAGGAGGCTCCATGGGCAGGGCTAGTGTTGGGGTGCTCTGGAGGCTGAGCTATTGGTAGGGGAGGGACAATGGGGGCAGGGCTGGCACTGGGGAGCTGTGGGGATAGGGCTAATATTGGGGGCTGGCATTGGGGGAGGCTGTAGGGGGATTGGTTGCAGTGGTGCTTTGGAAACAGGAGGCTGATACTGGGGGGGCTGGTGGGGGGGCTGGCACTGGGAGGTTTGGGCCCAGGGGACTCTGGGGTCAGTGGGTGGTAGTGGAAGGGTGACGGGCTGTAAAGGCTAGGGCTGGCACCGGGGGCTCTGGAAGCTGGGCTTCTGGTGAACCGGTAATGTTGAATGTGCATTTCTGTCATTTGCATAATAAATAAGCATATAAAATGCATAAAAGTTTTTGAATGGGCCGGTATCAAAAAGGTTGGGAACCACTGATTTAGTGTGACCTGCATGATGACAAGGGAACTCATGCAGTAGTTTCAGTATTAACCCCATAACTTCAGTTTGCTCTGTGGCATACCTTTTAAAGATACAGCTAGTTTTTATAGAAGTTTTCAATGATGGTTAATACAACATGTGACTCCACATTTGTAATATTAGAAAATGTCTAATATCACTTATGGGACATATATGGAAGCGCTGCACAGATTTTTGAATGTCAGCTTGTTTCATTGTCCTATGGCTTTAATGAGAGAAACATGCAAGAACCACTGTTTGGAGAGTAAATAGGGACTAATATGTTGCAGTTTCTTCAGAATTTGCCCTTGTTCTGGAAAGGAAATTTATTCTAGGTCTGTTGATGGTCTCTGATATTTTTTACATTTTTTAAAAAAACTAACACCATGTAATATTTACTTAATTTTAATAAATATTAGGCATAGTTATTAATTGCACATCACTTTTTTTTTCTTTTTTAGTTTTAAACAGAAGAGGAAAATGTCACTTTATGATGACCTGGGAGTGGAGACCAGTGATTCGAAAACAGAAGGCTGGTCCAAAAATTTTAAATTACTGCAGTCTCAGTTGCAAGTGAAGAAGGCAGCTCTGACTCAAGCCAAGGTACAGACATTGCTGCTTTTGATGGCTCAAGGCTGATGACCATTGGGAATGCTTTTTTATTTCTCTTGCTGTACATTTCTCTCGCTGTACAGTCTTTGGATGCAATGTCAGGCTTTGTCCTTCAGTTGATAGTGGACAGCACTTGAAAAAGGAAGAACAACAAGGTATAAGTTCTCTGAAACCCTTCCTGTAAAGTATACATAATTAGTATATACACAGCATGGCTATGAGAGCTGCTCTCATTTCTTAAATAAATAATGGAGTGAAGGTTTGATGCAGAGTCCAAATTTAACCTCGAAGACATTAAATTGGGCACTTAAGTATTTTTAAAATAAGTGAATAGGCAAGGCAGGTTCAGCCTGTGACGGGAAATTGGAGGTATTCAGTTGTTTGTACTGCTTGGATTTGGTAACTGGTGTTGTTGACCAACTTGCATAATTTCTTTGCTATTGTTTTAAAAGCCTCCTGAGGCTGTGGAGTGATGCCTTTATTTCCAGTCAGGTCAGCAATTGCTGCTGAGAATATTGCCAGTCCTCTTAGGTTGACAGGGAGGCAGGAAAGGTATAAGCTAATTCCTCAAGGGAAAACCAAGGAGCAAGTTTGTATTGTACTGTTTTCTCTCTTAATATATTGCAGCATAACATCATAATTGTCCTACTTCTTTTGTTGATGTTGAATATATTTTTCATGTGCTACAATCACAGACTGCTGCTGTCAAAGTCTCTGCAGTTTCAGGTGCAAAGCAGATCAGTTAAAAGATGGAAAATTATAAGGCCTGTCAAACACAGTTAACTCAAATTAATCACAATTGAAAAACATTAACCAAAATTAATCACAGTTTTAATTGTACCATTAAACAATAATGGAATACCAACTGAAATGTATTAAATATTTTTGGATTTTTTTCCTATGTTTTCAAATATGTTGATTTCAGTTACAACCTGGAATACAAAGTGTACAGTGTTTTCTTTGTAATATTTTAATATAAATATTTGCACTAAAAATGATAAAATAAATAGTGTGTTTCAATTCAACTCATACAAGTTCTGTAGAACTAGCTATTCATGGTGAAAGTGCAATAACTGCATTCAGAAACAAAACAATGTAAAACTTTAGCACCTACAAGTCCACTCAGTCCTATGTTCAACCAATTGCTAAGACAAAACAAGTTTGCTTGCATTTATTGGAAACAATGCTACCTGCTTTTTGTCACCTGAAAGTGAGAACTGGTGTTTGCATTAGAGATGTAAGCAGGTAGTCAATTACATAATTAGTGATGTAAGTGTCTACTTGACTACCCAACTAGCCTACACTTATCAGGTAGTTGAGTCACTACTCAACTAGTCACTCTCCCCTCCTTTTGCTGCCTCTGTATCAGAGGCACCAAGCTGGGGGAGCAGGAACCAGTGCTGGGGGAGCCAGCTTAAAAGCCATTGCCCTTCCCCCGAGCACTGTCTCTGTGGGGGTGGGCGGGAAGGCAGAGGCACAATAGGGAACCTGCGTGAATGAGGACAAAGCAGTTCCTGCTCATGTGGGGTCCTGACTGCTGCACCTCTCCCTTTGACATGTACATGAGCCCCTCAGCTCTTGTATGTTCAAAGGGAGAGACGCAGCAGTCGGGACCCCAAGAGACAGGGGACTGCTTCGGTCCCCACTTGTGCAGGTTCTTTGCACCTCTTCCTTTGAAATGTACAAGAGCTGCAGTGCTCTTGTATATTTCAAAGGGAGAAGCGCAGCAGTCTGGGCCCTGCGCAGCAGCAGGTGAGGAGCAGGGGATGCTGCTGTGAAGTAGCCTCTGTCCGCAGACAGAGGCTGCTCTGGCAGCAGTCCCTGTCCCTGGGCCCTATGGACGGGGACTGCTGGATCCGGCATGAGCTGGGACTGAGCAATCCAGGCTTAGATCTGGTAAGCTGGTTTACACCGAGTCTGAGATCTACCCCTGCTGCAGCTCTGCAGTTTCAATGTATTAGGAGACAGGTTTATGTTTAAACTGCAGAGCCACAGCAGCTTTAGCTCTGGACTCAGTGCGAGCCAGGACTGAGGAAGCCTTCATTTATCGACTAACTGTGTAGTCGATTAGCCACCTCTTAGCATCTTTAGTTTGTATAACACTCTTGTAGCTGGTGATGCAAAGTATTTGTTATATATATGCTAAACATTCATGCTTCCATCACCATGCTAATGATACTTGTTAAAATAATGCATTAATTAATATTATGACAACTTCTTGGAGGAGAATTGTATGTCTCCTGCTCTGTATTTTATTTGCATTCTTCAATATATTTCATGTTAGCCCTCTTGGAGCAACTTTCATTGCAGTTTTGTCAAATCGTGTAGAAGCTACCAGTGTAAGATTTCTAAAGTTGCCTATAGCACTCAAGGTTTAAAAATCTAGAATAATGGTATGGAGCATGCTTTTAGAAGCTTTTAAAGAGCAAACATTCTGACGTGGAAACTACAGAACTTGAACCACAAGAAAAGAAAATCAGCTTTGTGCTCAGATGATGAAAATGAACATGCATCAGTCTGCACAGCTTTGGATTGTTATTGAGCAGAACCTGTCATCAGCCTTGGACTGATGTCCTTTGGAATAGTGGTTGAAGCATGAAGGAACATCTGACTTGTAAACACCTTGCAACACAGACTATAACAGTGCCATGTGAAAGCCTGTACTCCATTTTCAAGTGACATTGTCAACATAAAGCTGCCAGCTTTATCTCACACACATGTAAACAAACTTGATTGTCTACATAATTGGCTGAACAAGAAGTAGGACTGAGTAGACTTATTGGCTTTAATGTTTTTCATTATTTTTATTTGAGTGCAGTTTTAAAGTGCAAATACTTGTAATAAAAATATAAAATGAGCACTGTTCACTTTGTACTCTTGTAATTGAAATCAATATATATGAAGGTATAGAAAAATTCACCAATGTTTAAATGTGTTCAGTTGTTTAACAGCATTATTAAGTACATAATTAAATATTTTCCGTGCATTGTTTTTTTATTGCTTGACAGCCCTAAAAATTATAGTTAAGCTGATTAAAATAGTAAAATCCTTTATTGGAACTAAATCCTGTTGTCAGTTTCCCTTGTGGAAATCAATGCAATTACTCCAGATTTACACTGCTGCTATTAAGAACAGAATTTGGTTCTAAATTTATAATGTGTTTTGTACAAATGAAACCTGCAATAAGGCTACAGCTGACAGAGATGCTCCTTGAAAGCACCCTCTTCTGTGTTGTGTATAGTGTCTCAGCACCAGTCTTAGTCTCTTTCATTGGAAACCCATCCACCTAAACATATAATAACAAGCAGGGGAGGCTTATCGTTGACCAGGCAAAGTCATTTTGCATAGCTAATACTTATAGGAAAATTCAAGAAATTATATATAGAGAGAAGTTTTATTCATGTGCTTGTAAAAGGAAAGTAAAAGATCAGTTTTACATTTGTAGGACTTCAATTTCAAACATTATTCATTTTATTGAATTACCATACATAATAAATTTGAATCAGAAACTCGTGAAGCTTCTATTACTCTTTCTGTAACTAATTTGAATTATTTTGTGATTTGTAACAGTAAAAATTTTCTTAGCACTAAAATGACAGTTGAATAGGTGACTCGATTTTAATTTTAGCAAATATTTTTATGAACTCTAATCATAATAGTCCTTTTTCTAATGAAAAACAAAAATAATTATTTAAACCTTTCAGCCTGCATATTTTGGTGTAAAAAGTAGCGCATTCAGCTAATTTAAGTGGCAAGATTGTTCATGGAAAATTTGGTATCTGTAGGTAATTGCGTAGTCTGACTTTATTTTGCACAAACAAATCCACAAACTCTAAACTCTTCAAACTAAAATAGATTTATTAATCCTGTTTTTATAAGTTCTGTTTTCCTCATGGTGAAAAGCAGCAGGACTTTAATGTAAGAAAAGACCTCTCCTTTGCAGAGATTTTTATTTCAGAAGTGCAGTTGGAGAAATTATTTTTAAATGTGTATTTTCATTTCTAGACTTCGAAAACTTAACACACTTCCAACGTGATTCTGCTCCCATTCAGATTAATGGCAAAACTCCCTTTGAGTGTAGTGTGGGGTAGTATCAAGCCATTTAAGAATACTTGTGATTTATGTAGGATCTGTGTTCCTTTATAAACTCTACAACAGAAAACTAGAAACTCCAACCACAGAGGTGTGTTTTTACCCATGGTGCTGGTTCATAAATAATAGAAGGAATCAAAACATCAAACTCATAACATCAAACTATATTAGAAATGCTGAGAAAGGATTAATATGTTGTTAACATGGAAATGCAGGTGGTATAGTGAGTTTTGCATGGGGCAGAGAGGCCTGAGAAAATATTCATCCATTTTTAAGCTTTCTTGAAATCGGGAAACTCCTAGTTTAGAAATATGAAGAAAATGAATGTATTGTTTTCTCCTGTTCTTTTTTCAATATTTGATTGTTTCAGTCTCAGAGGACAAAACAAACAACAGTCCTTGCTCCAGTGATTGATCTGAAACGAGGTACCTCTTCTGATGACAGACAGATAGTGGATACACCACCCCATGTAGCTGCTGGGTTAAAGGTAAGATCACAGAGGGCTTGTCTACACAGGGTGGTTAAATACTCCACAGCAGTCATAACTAGCCCATTGAGCACAGTCGATTGGTAGATCTGGAGCCTCTGCCAGTCAGTTTCGATCCTCAAATAGGCTGTCTCTGCCTGCCAGTGCCCATGCTGCTCCTGAAAGCAGTTGGCTAGCTCTGCAGCCCTTGGGAATGGGGGTGAGGCAGCTCCATGCTATCCCCACCTCTGGTACTGTCCAAGCAGCTTCCTTTGGCTGGGAACCATGCAGTGTGGGCAGGACTTGCGGGTGCAGGCAGTGATGCAGTGCCTGGAGGCCCCCTCACCTCAGGGGCCGCACACAGAGATGGGTCTGCACTCAGAAAGATGTTTCCAGGAGTAGCATGGGGCCAGGCAGAGCCAGCTTGCTTGAGCCCTGCTATGCTGCCAACAGGGAGCAGCCTGTGTTGAGTGCCTCTTGGCTATAACCTGCACCCCTGTCCCGTGTCAACCCTGAGCCTGCACCCAAACTCCCTCCCAGAGCCAACACCCATCTCTCCCTCCTGCACCCAACACTAAGCCCCAGCCTGGAGCCCCCTCCTACTCACAGAGTGTTGGGGTGCAGGAGTGAAGGATGCAAATTCTGGGAGAGAGTTTGGTTGCAGAAGAGGGCTCTAGGATAGGGCAAACTCGGTCCCAGAACTTGCAGTTCCCATTCCTCCCCTCCAAAATGCTTCCCCAGCCTGGAGCCCCCTCTTGCACCACTGCTCTCTCCCAAACCCTGCACCTCTTAACCTCTTCTGCATCCCAACCCCCTCCCCCAGCCAGATGAGTGTGAGGGAGAGTGAGCAAGGAGTGTGTGTGGAGTGGGCAGGGCTTTGGGGAAGGGGTGTGTCCTCAGTCTACCCTTAAATTCAAAAAGTGATCTTGGATATAAGTTTGGAAGCTCTACAGCAATGTGATTTCTAAAGTTTGTTGACATATTGCACATCAGTCAGTTCGTGTAAACGCTACTGTGCTCTTTAGCATAGCACTTTTTGAAACAGTACAATAATTAAACTATACTAGGGAACCTTTGTGTGCTTCAGGAGAGCATACATGGGCCAAATAATATGCAACACGTTAGTGCACTTTAGAAATCATAAAGGCCATGCAGACAAGCCCTTAGTGTTCTTAATTGAACTAAAAATTATACATTTGCATATCACCTTTCATCTGAGGAGCTCAGAGCATTTTGTAAGCAATCCTGCAGGGAAAGTAGATCGGCTTGGAAATGATCCTTTATAACAAACAGAAGAAATCTAGTGTTTTAACACTAAGTAAGAAAAACTTTAAAGTGATTGATAATGGGTCCAAGACAAACTTTCCTAATGAAACTTTTTGGAAAGTTACTTGCTGCGAAGCAGATATTTCTTCCAGGTTGAATGAGAGTGGCTGTGGATGTCAGTCCATAATATAGTCCCAGACAGATGGTAGTAACCTGTGAACTTGCATCCAAGCACCTCTCCTAGCTCTGTGTAAGCAGGATGTAGTTTCTGATAGAGAATTTTTGGATATTGATATAACTTTAGCCAAGATTTTTTTGGGCATCTCTTATTTGGAAGGGAGGAGGTGGAATAGTTTTCTTTGTATACAATTTGAGAGGAAAACATTTTAGGGTAAAATCTGGACCCCATTGAAGTCAATGGAAAAACTTCCATTGACTTCAATAGGCCTAGGATTTCACCTTCTGTCTAAGCAGTCTAAAAATACTAATTTTTTTGTTGTTGTTAGTGGTAAGAACAGTAGGTTTATTCGAAGTGCATACCATTTGCTGCTCTCAGCTGACTGATCACATTGATATCTCTCCTTTTTTGGTGTAAGGATCCCGTACCTAGTGGTTTTTCTGCAGGAGACGTGCTGATTCCTTTGGCTGATGAATATGATCCTATGTTTCCCAATGATTATGAGAAAGTAGTAAAGCGCCAGAGAGAGGAACGACAAAGACAGCGTGAGCTGGAGAGACAGAAAGAGATTGAAGAAAGAGAAAAGTAGGACTTTAATTGGGTTCCTGTGATACAGACACTTTTTTATTCATCATTCAGTTAAAATAAGTTAATTGCATATTATTGTTCATGGCTTCTTAAAACATAAGACAATATTCCTCAGTCCAGGTGAAAGCGTTGGTGTCATTAAAATAAGCATTCACTATACAGCTCTTTGGTTCCTATTTGGTATTGTATTGTATAGTAGTAGCTAATTAATTTTATTGGGTAGCTGGCAGATGTTTCTCCTGTTATTTCAATACAGTATTGAAAGCAAGTCCACCTTTAGTAAGATTAATGGATCAAATTCCTCTATGATGTTTGTCCAGTTTGCCATGGTTGAGTTTATTAGCACTTAAAGTGCTTTTTGCTTATTTCCCATACTCCTTACATTTGTATACAGGCATCTAAGATACTGATTTGATTTTGCCCCCCAGTTCTGCCTTGTCCCTTTGTCACCATAATTCCTATTCTGCTTATTAGGAGACGCAAAGACAGGCATGAAGCCAGTGGGTTTTCAAGAAGACCAGATCCAGATTCTGATGAAGATGAAGATTACGAAAGAGAGAGGAGGAAAAGAAGTAAGGGGAGAATCATCTAACTTTATGTCCTTGAGCAAATCAAATACTCTGCAGTCAGATTCTTCCTGTTTTGCTGTAAACTATTCTTCCCTTCTCACCCCTAAAATCCGTTGGACTCGTATAATACATGTATCACTTTTTATTATGGATCAGCTGTTATAGAGTAAGCAACCACATTCTTTTTAGGGGTAAAACAGACACCTTATTTACCTGTGAAACTCCCTTTTGACATTAGGTTTTAGATTCATGCATTAGAGATTTCTGAATTATGTAGATTCCAATGAACAGAGAGGCATGAGCTCATTCTTGTGGTTAGATTTTTAAAAACCTGAGCTTTGACTGCTGTTAATGTGAGCAATCACTGCAGCTGTCATTATTTGAAAGCAATAAAATGTGGCTGTGGGGATGGATATTTCTCTGTTGAGTGAAACTAAGCACCTGCTCTGAATTTCAGTAGCAGATTCGCTGTTGGTAATACAGACCCACTTAGCCCTTCCGTTATGAAACTGAATTATATTTAATAAAATGCCTATGTTCTATAATACATGTTTAGAACTACTTCGGCCATTCATGCTTCCCTAATTGGAAAAGTCCCTTTGTTTTGCACTTTTGTGTTAATGTATTTGTTCTTGAGTACAATATCATTTTTTTTTTTTTTACTTGGCTTGATGAGAAAACAGTCTTCCACTTGAGGGTATGTCTAGACTACATTGGGTTTTTTTTGGGGAAAAAAAACCCTGCCCTTTTTTTTCAAAAAAACTTCACTGCATCCACGCTGCAATTGCATTCTTTTGTAATTAAATCGAAAGAATGCAGGGGTTTTTTCAACATTGGTGAACCTCAAATTACGAGGAAGAACACCTTTTTCGAAAGAGCTCTTTTGAAAAAATGCATGTGTGGACGCAGAACAGGGACATTTTTCGAAAGAAGAGGCAATCGAAAGAAGCATAGGTGCCCTGGTGGCCATTCTAGGACTAGCAATCAGGGTTTTCTTTCGAGAGAGCATCCATGCAGTCTGGATATTGATTTTTAAAGCAGTTGTATTGCATATTTTTTGTGTTCACATCCCTGTGGCACATCAGCTTGGTATGAGATGGTACCCTTTGATATATTAGAAATGTTCTCTTTGCAATGGTTTATTAACTAGCACCACCAAGATTTTTGGAGACAGATACCTTTTCCAGTCCCTTGATACTTGGCATTGGCAGCAAGCCCATGATTTCTTATAGGATGCCTAGAAATGTATGTTTGCACTCTAGTGGCCTCTTTCATTAAAGTGTCTGGAAGAGTTTTCTTATCTCAAATGACAGAACACTTCATCTGCATGAATGTCTTATGTTCCAATCATGTGATTTATTACTTCATTCACAGGCATGGGAGGGGCTGCCATCGCACCACCTACATCTCTTGTTGAGAAGGACAAAGAACGTATGTATACTAAAATATGTGATTTAACATTTATATTTTTTAAGCCTGGCAAAACAGTTTAAGTTCCTGCTTAAACTTTCTGCTCAGCAAGGGACAGTTCCTGCCATTTCTCTGCATAGGCATGAAGGTTCCTGGCTGTCACCATAGGAGGGACAGGATGCTAGGAGCTTGAACAGAGAATTTGTACCACCTGCATGTTACCACATTGTGCATATTAACCCTCTCTTTCCATAATTCAGTTAATGATAAAGAACATTTAAGTTTGGATTCCCTCTTTCCGGAGAATTTACTGTTGAGACGACTTTTAAGACACAGTGAAGAATTGAGACAAATTAGTAAAGAGCAGATAAGTAGAGCTTATAGAACTCTTATTATCTGTAGAAACAAAAATTCAGTGCAATAGGCCATACAAATATATCCCCAAACACTTCAGACTTTAAACCTAGTTACAGAGAGGATTAATAGTGGAGAGGAGACACATAGTAACTTGTATGAGCCAGGAAAACATAGGACCCGATTCTCATTTATGCTAAGACCACGTTGTCTAATTCTGGCAATATAAAGGACCTTCAAGAGTGTGTAAATATAATATTCCTGTAAAGAGGCCTCAGTTTAAATGAGAGAGAGGCTTATGATGCTGTTAGATGAGATTTGAGAATGGAGGAAAGGAGTGACATAAATAGTTCATCAAATGTATTTTGACTAGCTAATAAATGTTTCATATTCTTTTCAGCTGTAGCATCTTTTCCATTTGAAGAGGAGCCAAGACCTCGAGCACAGTCTGCCAAAGCAGCTATTCCTCCCCCGTTGTATGATGAGCCAGAAAGACCCCGGTCCCCAACAGGGCCGAGTAATTCTTTCCTTGCTAACATGGGGTAAATATCTTTGACAAGTTAGCATTTCATGAGACGTGCCTCGGAGGGGGGAGAGGATGAAAGTTAAAAATGTGTCAGTATGATGAACAACACACTGTCTTTGCATGTATATTATTCACTGTTATAACCTAATCTGAATGCATATATGCCCACCCGGAAGGAAATGAAGCACACAATGGCTTTGTGGGAATTGGGCCTGAGTTAGAGGAGGAATTTTTAAGTGAGTTCTGGAGCACTCTCCAGTATAAATGTTTGTGGCTTGCACCATGTGAAGCTGATGTAGTCTAGTGGTAAGTACATGTGGTTAGTTCAAGACTCTGGGTCTTTTTTCCTGCTTTTGTCAGAGGTATGTTCTGTGTAACCTTGAGCAAATGACTGATATTTTTTCAGAGGCATTGAGCATATCAACTCTATTTGACATTAAGGGTGTGTCTAGACTACATGCCTCCTTCGACGGAGGCATGTAGATTATCCAGATCGGGGCAGCCATTTAAATTTAAATGGCTGCCCCGATCTCCCGATCAGCTGTTTGTCGGCAGATCGGGGCAGCCATTTAAATTTAAATGGCTGCCCCGATCTCCCGATCAGCTGTTTGTCGGCAGATCGGGGCAGCCATTTAAATTTAAATGGCTGCCCCGATCTCCCGATCAGCTGTTTGTCGGCAGATCGGGGCAGCCATTTAAATTTAAATGGCTGCCCCGATCTCCCGATCAGCTGTTTGTCGGCAGATCGGGGCAGCCATTTAAATTTAAATGGCTGCCCCGATCTCCCGATCAGCTGTTTGTCGGCAGATCGGGGCAGCCATTTAAATTTAAATGGCTGCCCCGATCTCCCGATCAGCTGTTTGTCGGCAGATCGGGGCAGCCATTTAAATTTAAATGGCTGCCCCGATCTCCCGATCAGCTGTTTGTCGGCAGATCGGGGCAGCCATTTAAATTTAAATGGCTGCCCCGATCTCCCGATCAGCTGTTTGTCGGCAGATCGGGGCAGCCATTTAAATTTAAATGGCTGCCCCGATCTCCCGATCAGCTGTTTGTCGGCAGATCGGGGCAGCCATTTAAATTTAAATGGCTGCCCCGATCTCCCGATCAGCTGTTTGTCGGCAGATCGGGGCAGCCATTTAAATTTAAATGGCTGCCCCGATCTCCCGATCAGCTGTTTGTCGGCAGATCGGGGCAGCCATTTAAATTTAAATGGCTGCCCCGATCTCCCGATCAGCTGTTTGTCGGCAGATCGGGGCAGCCATTTAAATTTAAATGGCTGCCCCGATCTCCCGATCAGCTGTTTGTCGGCAGATCGGGGCAGCCATTTAAATTTAAATGGCTGCCCCGATCTCCCGATCAGCTGTTTGTCGGCAGATCGGGGCAGCCATTTAAATTTAAATGGCTGCCCCGATCTCCCGATCAGCTGTTTGTCGGCAGATCGGGGCAGCCATTTAAATTTAAATGGCTGCCCCGATCTCCCGATCAGCTGTTTGTCGGCAGATCGGGGCAGCCATTTAAATTTAAATGGCTGCCCCGATCTCCCGATCAGCTGTTTGTCGGCAGATCGGGGCAGCCATTTAAATTTAAATGGCTGCCCCGATCTCCCGATCAGCTGTTTGTCGGCAGATCGGGGCAGCCATTTAAATTTAAATGGCTGCCCCGATCTCCCGATCAGCTGTTTGTCGGCAGATCGGGGCAGCCATTTAAATTTAAATGGCTGCCCCGATCTCCCGATCAGCTGTTTGTCGGCAGATCGGGGCAGCCATTTAAATTTAAATGGCTGCCCCGATCTCCCGATCAGCTGTTTGTCGGCAGATCGGGGCAGCCATTTAAATTTAAATGGCTGCCCCGATCTCCCGATCAGCTGTTTGTCGGCAGATCGGGGCAGCCATTTAAATTTAAATGGCTGCCCCGATCTCCCGATCAGCTGTTTGTCGGCAGATCGGGGCAGCCATTTAAATTTAAATGGCTGCCCCGATCTCCCGATCAGCTGTTTGTCGGCAGATCGGGGCAGCCATTTAAATTTAAATGGCTGCCCCGATCTCCCGATCAGCTGTTTGTCGGCAGATCGGGGCAGCCATTTAAATTTAAATGGCTGCCCCGATCTCCCGATCAGCTGTTTGTCGGCAGATCGGGGCAGCCATTTAAATTTAAATGGCTGCCCCGATCTCCCGATCAGCTGTTTGTCGGCAGATCGGGGCAGCCATTTAAATTTAAATGGCTGCCCCGATCTGGATAATCTACATGCCTCCGTCGAAGGAGGCATGTAGTCTAGACACACCCAAAGTGCTTGGAGACCTCAACTGAAAGATGTAATATTTTATTTGTGGTAACTAGGGTTACAAATTGGAGGATTAGGCCACAAGAAATCTGATGAGGTTCAACAAGGACAAGTGTAGAGTCCTGCACTTGGGACGGAAGAATCCCAAGCATAGTTACAAGCTGGGGACCAACCAGTTAAGTAGTAGTTCTGCAGAAAGGGACCTGGGGGTTACAGTGGATGAGAAGCTGGATATGAGTCAACAGTGTGCCCTTGTAGCCAAGAAGGCTAATGGCATATTAGGTTGTATTAAGAGGAGCATTGCCAGCAGATCCAGAGATGTCATTATTCCCCTTTATTCAGCTTTGGTGAGGCCACATCTGGAGTATTGTGTCCAGTTCTGGGCCCCCCACTACAAAAAGGATGCGGACGCATTGGAGAGGGTCCAGCGGAGGGCAACCAAAATGATTAGGGGTCTGGAGCATATGACCTACGAGGAGAGGCTGAGGGACTTGGGTCTGTTTAGTCTGCAGAAGCGAAGAGTGAGGAGGGATTTGATAGCAGCCTTCAACTTCCTTCAACTTCCTGAGGGGAGGTTCCAAAGAGGATGCAGAAAGGCTGTTCTCTGTAGTGACAGATGGCAGAACAAGGAGCAGTGGTCTCAAGTTGTGGTGGGAGAGGTCCAGGTTGGATATTAGGAAAATCTATTTCACTAGGAGGGTGGTGAAGCACTGGAATGGGTTACCTAGGGAAGTAGTGGAGTCTCCATCCCTGAAGGTGTTTAAGTCTCAGCTTGACAAAGCCCTGGCTGGGTGGATTTAGTTGGAACTGGTCCTGCCTAGAGCAGGGGGCTGGACTTGATAACCTTCTGAGGTCTCTTCCAGTTCTATGATTCTATTCTATGATTAGTTTTTATGTAACTGCAGTATATTTACAGTATTGCGACCCACATGAGTCACAGCTATAAAAGTGTGGAAGTATTTTATAGAATATTAATAACTCACTTTTCTATATTTATGTATTTTGTTTCTCATGCAGTTTTTCTCATACCTTTTTTCCCCACCATCTGAAAAAGGATTTTCCCCAATCTATTGAGTCATACCTCATTATTTTCTCTAGTTAGGATTGTCTAGAGAGCTTTTCTTGAGACAGTAACCTTAATATTATCCAGTTACCCTGCCTTGACTAGACATTGGCAGATATTTGATCTTTGACTTAGTACTCATAGACAATGAAATTACAGAGGTTTAAAGTACTTTGAATGTACTATATTTGTGTTGAACTGTATTGTGTATTAGAGAAATAGCTAAATGGTCATTGATCTTTCATTTCTCTTTATAATCTTTCATTCTATCAAGTGAAAAAAATCTTTGATAAATCAGAAGCTTCAGGGGGTAGCTGAGTTAGTCTGGACAGGAAAAAAAAAAAAAATTATCTGATAGCACTTCATAGACTAACAAAACATGTAGATGGTACCATGAGCTTTCGTGGGCACAGCCCACTTCTTCAGATGACCGGAGTTTTTTTGATAAATCAGAGAGAGAGATCTTTATACAGAGGTGCAGTGTAAATTTCTGTATTCTTGTAAGGCCTGTCACATTTTAACCCATCTATTTATGATCTGCAGATGAAATGTTTTAAGACATACCTTGTGTTTTGAAAAGGCCTGTACTCATTTGGTTTTGTAGTGAATGGTTGACTGTTTCTTTCGTGGAAAATTAAAGGGAGGTGGAATCAGGACCAGATGAAAGGAAATACCTTTTCATGCAACATGTAATTAAGTATGCCATAATAGGTCATTAAGACAAATAACAAGATTCAGAAAGGGGTTGGACTTCGATGGATATTGAGAATATCTTGAGTGTTAATAGTTCTGCGAAAGAGATATTGAGCTTCAGGACCTAAGGCTAAGTGCTGTACATTTTAGGTGTTCTAAGATCAGATATATATATAAGCTCTTATATTCGATCTGCATGTAATAGTCTAGTTCTTAAAATCTTATTTTATATGTTCTCTGAAATATTATGGCAACACTAAACTAAGACATGGTTGTAAGTTCCTTGGCAGAGCAGCTGTAGATACCATCTGCATGCAACAACTGTATTCCAGGGCAATAACTGGAACTTGCCTATTGTGAGGGCTTATGTTGAGTGTTCTGGGCACTAAGAATGAAATATGTTGATAGTGCTGCTTAAGAAATGAAATGAATGGTTGACAACCAGTCCTTTTTCTCTCAACAGAGGCACCGTAGCTCATAAAATCATGCAGAAGTATGGTTTCAGAGAAGGCCAAGGTCTGGGGAAGCACGAACAAGGGCTAAGCACAGCACTGTCAGTAGAGAAAACAAGCAAGAGAGGTGGCAAAATCATTGTTGGTGATGTAGCAGATAAAGGTAACTCTATTCCATTCTGCCAGAAGTGGGAAGCTGTTTACCTTGACGGTTTCTGGAAAGGGAAACAAGAGTTAAGTTAGGGATCTAGCTCAGTGGCTTTTCTTGTTTGGTTTACCCTATATCTTTGTACACAATGCTAACTAGTTTGGGAACATTGATGACTGGTGACAGTTTTCTTTGTGGACATTGAAGAATTTAAGTGTTAACAGTTGTCCTGGCCCTTCCCACTTTAACATTTTAGCTCTTCATCTTCTTCTCCACCACCATTGCTAGCTCCATCCTGTGCCTTTCTTTGGTACACTCAGGCACCTGCCCTGTTACCATGTGCTCCCTGCACATGCAGGTTTCCTTCTCAACATGTACCTTTGATGTGTCCTTCTTTCCGCTGCTGTTTTCCAGCTTAAAGCTCAGGTCAGGAGGGGAGCTGCATGTGAGCATAGCCTGTGCATGGAGGAGAGATGCCAAGGGTGGAGCGAGTTTAGACACAATCCAAATAAGTCATCTTCCAGATTATCACCACCTGGGAATTAAGAGTTTAATGTAATGTGCAGAAGTTACTGCTCATTTGTATATGCTCTCTGTTTGTTCTGATCTCATTCTCCTTCCCTTCTTTCCTGGTAACACTTTATAGCCATGATTTACATCATACTTTCCCAGTGAAAGCCCTGATCTGAAATCTGATGAACCTTAGTAGATCTGGTATCTGTTAAAATTGACTGAGTTTTATTGTCAAATATAACATTACCTGTACAGCCGGTCCCCAAGTTACGAATGGTCGATTTACGACCATTCGTACTTATGACCAGACCTCCCATTAAGCGTTCATAAAGGCGGTCCCCAAGTTATGAACGCGATCTGCACTTATGAACAGTGCGGTCGCACGTAAATGAATGGGGTCAGACTTACGAACACTTCGAGTCACGACCAAGTGTTTGCTCCATAACTCGTTCGTAAGTCGGGGACCGGCTGTATTTCAGCATGGTATTAATGCTGTCATAGTCATCTGAACAGCTTTTTAAACCAGAGCCACTTGTTCCAGTAATTACAACTAGCCATAAAGTGACTTGGTTCAATGCAAGGCAAATACAGCGAGACTGTTTAGTGGTTTGTAACGGAATACAGCTATACAAGTCAATGTAGACCCCAAATGAACATATGTTTTAATTTTTTTTTAACATGTACTATCACTTCCTCTCTTTATAGTAGATGCATCCAAGAAAACAGATTCAAATCCATTAACGGAGATACTAAAGTGCCCAACAAAAGTGGTTTTATTGAGG